TTTACGATGTCACTATAGAGAACAGTGTAGAACTGTGGTTACTATTACTGTTTTTGTCTTTGCAGTTTTTTATGCCTTGTACCCAGCATACCTTGTTGAAGACGTTCACTCTTAACACCGCTATTACTCGTAGTACAGCAAAAAGACACACGAGATCTCCTATGTTGCCATGCCTGTAGGTTCTTGAAAGAGAAGAAATTATGTTAGTGACATAATTTTTATCTTGTTGACAATCGGGACACATTATATTATGCTAGATAGCGCGCAAGACCTGCGGACATGTACAACACTCGGTCATAGTAAGTGCAGCTTTGCCGATAAGTGTTAATCTGAACGGCGATGGCTCAACGTCACCTTGCCTTGCGCAAATATGACTTGCGTTGCCGTCAAAACACATGGTTTGGACATCGCCACGAATAGCTGTTACTAGTCGACGCTCATTCAAACGTTTTGTTTGAAGCTAAGTACTTTCTGCACTTCGCTGCCGTTACTGTGAGGTATAGAATACTATCAATCTGCGAATGATGCGAAATAGACGTATCTTCATTGACATACATTCACCGGCGTGCAATATCAATGCGTTGTCACTAGTGAGCAATTTAAACGTTTAGTCATGATTACGGATAATGACGAAGAGCCGTCCAAATTATTGCGTGGTATGTAAAACAGTGTCGAAATTTTTGTCAGCTCAATTCTTAAATCAAAGCCCGATCGATGGTGAGACCGAGCTCTGCTTGGACATGCCTCAAGCTCAACTTCACGCAAGTAGTATTCTATCATCTGTCAAAGTCCCTACGCACTTTGTTTGACATGTCTACTACAGTGACAGCTCCCGCGAAATTCGGTGTAAGATGATATCGGTGCTTGTAAGCACGTCGCACCTCGATTGACCTGTTGCCTGATCGCATCAAGTGGACAAGTTCGCGCAAGGCTTCAAGAGAAGCCTATTGGATTGAACTCGATGCGGAACGACCGAAAGCACTGTTACTATCTGTCTTTTGTTCATCCGATAGCTACGTGTGATTAGGTTGTTTCGCAGTAAGTCGATCGGTGCCTAAACACATAAAAGGGCGTCTATTTAGCTCATTACAAAAAGAAGAGTGAGTTAAAACATTGAGATGATTTACAATTTTTAGTATAGAGGTCGTGAAGTCAACGCATTCAGTGTGTAATCCAGTGGTCTACTCTTGTGTGACATGTAGCGTCTCGTTATTGAACACTGTCTTTCCATCGTATTCGATATAAGGCGTGACAAAGTGATTCTAGCGCTACAAAGGGCGGTCGTTTGGCAAAGACGTGCATTCTGGGACAACATTACGCGAGCGCACGAGAAGAAGGCGCGCATACTTCCTGATTGTTATAACTCTTCGAGACAGATCATTCAGTGTAGATCATTTCAGTGTTTCGTTGCATCGCGTCCTTCTCTTTGGGTATTGAATATCCACGATACACTCTCGCACAATTTGGTAATCTGTTCAGACAGCTGAGCCGAAATGAGCGCAGCTATTGCAGAAGTGATAAACTGGTATGTGCAGAACTTGCACACATCTCAACTATGCTTGACGTGCGTCGGTACACAAAGAAAAGTCAAAAAGTGACTGCAGAAGGATGATGAACCCGCCAGTTTTTAAGGGTTCACCAGTAGGCCACAAGCCGGAGCCGATACAATAGAAGATACTCCACCAAAAATCTAACCTCGATTATGCTCTTACGCGGCGCGAGTTTGGCAAGGCGCCTTGACTGGCTCAGATCGACAAAAACTGAAGCTGTTGTGGCACAAGGTGGCAAAATCTCTTTGATGAGAAGTTAAAGTAGCTGTGACAGCTCAGCAACAGGTCTAACGAAGATATAGGCTGCTCTGCTTATTCATATGACATGACTGATCGTGCCAACATGATCAGTTTCACTTTATTCACAGTAAAGGGCGTGAACCCTGAAGTGTCGCAATGTATGCAAAGCGACTGTGGCGTTAAAAGCCAGCTGATCCCACCAACAAATTATTTATCGTGCATTGTGCTCGAAAGGCCACTGGAAGAAGGAGATGATGGTACATCCAGCGCCATAAGAAATTAGATATCGTGCTTTTCCCCGGCTTGTCGTCGTACCGGTGCAAGTTTTGCGCATGTGACCTTCTTGTCCTTTGTTCACGGCAACATACATTAACCACGGCAGCTCACCGTCGAATGTCAAAAAGAAGCACTGCGCATCAAATTGGTCACGCGTTTGCTCTTGCGTTAGTTGCAGTTTTAGTGGAGAGTAGAATTCCCCATCATAGTTTGGTAGACGTTATAGAGAGTTTCGTTATCTTGCGACGAGCGATGCCAAGTTCATAACTCTCCGAGCGGCAACATCGTCCATGGTGTTGTTGCTGCAAACTCTGTCATCGGTACCTCTGGAATCTCAAAAGAGGCGAGCGTGACTATGCAGGATATGGGCAGCTACCTATCTGCACGGGTCTGTTCTGCTTGGTGGGCTTCCGTTTGTCAGTACATGGATCAACCCAATTTCTACGACCTAGCGCGATGTAAAGGTTTGCTACCGCTCGTTGCCGTTTGTGTCATCCAAGCAAGTTCGAAGCAGTTGATCAATGTTGTATGGATAGCAGAATGATGAGAAGGCAGTCGTAGGTAAAGGGGTACGCGCGGGATAGCTAGATAGAAAAACTTTACCACCTGTTATCGTGTGGTGGTAAGGTAAAGGTGGCAATGAGCGCAAACGTCGCTGGTCAGTTATCGCACAAGCCAAGATCTCAGAGGCAATTGAACCCATAGCGGTCATTTCTATCGTATGTCGTACTGCATGCGCTTAAACACACTCACACGGTGCTTCATGCACCAAAGAGAGAGGTCTAATCCGAGCATTCGTTCGACAAGAAGTCAGAGGTGCTGTAGTATCGATTGCTTGCGAGAAAGGTAAAGGAGGCCGCTACAAATCGCTTTGGCGCCATTCTACCCGCAGACCAACTCCGAGTATAATGCCCAACGTGTGTCTGACTCGGTCGAAGTCGCGTGTATACAATCCGGTTCGTGATACACCTTCCACATTGCAGCTTGAGCCCGGCCAGCGCACTTCCATTGAACCGAATCGAAGCACGGGCAGTAATCGAGCCGTTAGCACTTGACAGACAATACACCGCACGTAAATGAATGGGCCTTGTCATTTCGTCTTGTGCGAGCGCACATGATGCACCACGCGAGAGCAAATCGTACAGCTTTCCGTCAGCTTTTTGTCTCAAGGTGACTGTGCTTTTCGTGGTGAGAGTCTGCACTTGGTCCTGCACTATCCCTTTCGATTACTCGTCTTTCCGTCTACGAGATAAACGACGGCGTAAACTTCTCGCGCATAGTCAGTTTTGTCGCGTGCACGACGCAGACGTCAGTCGTCCATCGTGTCTTTGTCACCCAGCGGGGCCGCTACTTGCCAACCGCTTTTGCGTCTAGCTTTGCCGCCCATCGATCGTTTGCGGCTGTCGAGGCAGATGGGTATAGTCAGTAGTGACCAGTCTCGTTTTACAGCGCTATCGCTGGTTGGTAATACGGAATGTGTCTAACGCCTGGGTCCACCACCTCTACAAGGAACGGCTAAAACCGGCGGCAATACCGGTAAGCCGCCGACAAGACGTGCCACGTGATGGCTACGGTGACCATTGCACGAGCCGAGTACCCGAGACGACGACCCGAATGTATTTCTAAACCGATCACGATCAACGTTTGGCTAGAGGGCGGCGATGTTGACGGTCTGAACGTTTGACAACACTTCGCCACCCATTCTTTTCGTGGGGTCACGTGAGACCCTTGCCATTCGCAGCCAATGCTCAGAGGTTCAGCAGCAAAAGTTGTTGTCGGCCAAGTCGCTGTCGCGTGGCAAGTCTGGATCTGAAGTAGACGACCAGCGCCGGGCCGGGTGGAAAACCCGGTCGGTCTTTGTCCCGCAGCGCCCGTCTCGCTCATTCCGACTCTCTTTGGCCCGTCGCTGCTGGGCGCATTGCGTGGCTTTGGTTGCGCGGTGGTGCAGGTCTTCCACCCGCTGACCAAGAAGCATGCGTCCCGAGACTGGCACTTGCCCGGGAAAGAGAGAAAACTGCGCGCGTGTACTGATTACTCGCGTCTGCGACGACGATGGGCTTCCTGCCAATACATTCGCCTCTCTTCTCGAATAGCATCGGCTTTCCCATCTGTTCTGTGCGCGAGGGCCCGTAGCAAAGTTGTCGCGCCGGTCGGCCCACCGGTTTAATGTGGCCATCGGTAGTTGGCTTACTGGAGATCATTTCGTGTATACTTTCTGTATGTAACAACAGGACGCGGCAAGAACTATACAATCAGTAAAAATCAGTGTCGCAAGCGCACGTACGCCCAGAACACCCAACGACCAAATGTCGCGCGGCCGCCTTGATCCACACGCCCGGCCGCGCCGTTTCTTTTTGTGTCGCGGCCGGCGTTACAGAGCGTTAATTCATCCGACGGCTACCTGCTCCACTTCACCTCTTGCAACAGCAGCGAGCGGTACTCGGCGGTACAAAAAAGGGTATCCGTCTCGACGGAGCTCGTGCTTTTTCTGTCGCCTATGAGCGGGTCTGTCCACGTCGACAAAAACGGGTCGCCATAATAGAGCAGGAGCGATTAGGTCATTTGTGTGTACGTACGTACGTACGTACGTAGTATGTATGTACATGTTTGTATGTACGTTTGTATGTACGTTTGTATGTGTGTTTGTATGTACGTTTGTATGTACGCTGTCTGAAAATAAGTATGTGAACATATACACGAAACGTGGGGGGGGCGGCCCTTGCGCAGAGTCAGTTAGCAAACTGACTTCTACCCGGTGGCGAGACAGTCGGCTCGTCGATCGCGCACTTTGGCAGAGACTGCGACGCGCACAAGAGCCGCACGAGTGGCCCCGAAGCGCATTTCGTCCACAGCGGCCACCGCTTCCTCGTCGTCGTCGTCGTCGTCGTCTCTTCACTCGGCCGCTCACGTGTCCTTTTGTTGTGGCAGCAGCTGATGAACCACCGCATGAACTCGTTCCAGGGAACGCGTCCAGGCCCGAGCAGCCACGGCCTGAGCATCCCAGGCCTCAATGTCGACATTGAGATGCTCGTGCAGAGCACGCAGGGCTCGGCCATGCACTTTGGCCGCAAGTCGTCGCACGAGAAGTTCCACGGATGGCTCTGGAAGAAGTCGGGCCGCTTCTCCAAGTGGCGGAACCAGCACTTTGTGCTCGATGGCGCGCTGCTGACGTACTACGACACGTTTCCGACCGACCAGTTCGTGTCCGAGTCGTCGTTGATGCCGATCCAGGGCGACAATCTGTTTACGACCAAGAGCGAGTCCACGCCGGCCGGTGCGGTCCGCGTGGCGCACGTCGAGACGTCGCCCAAGTCCAAGATCGCGTTCAAGGTCTATGCCGTGAGCGGCAAGATCATTGACGTCCGTGCAAAGAACGACACGCTGTGCAGGCAGTGGGTGGACCGACTGAACGAAGCAGCAGCGCTGGCCAAGCGCCAAGAGTCGCTCAACAATAGCACGACCAGCACGGCGTCGTCGACGATTTCGATGGGCTACTCGGATTCCGAGCTGGACATGCAGTGCAACATTGTGGACAAGAGCGGGTGGCTGGAAGTCGGCGACCGCAAGTCCACGCGAGCACGATTCTGTGTCATGCAGGGCAACATGTTTACAGTGTACGATACGGAGGACGCATGGGCGGTGCCGCTCAGTCGTGCTTACGTGACGCACGCCGAGAAGATCAGTGAAGCCACTTGTTCGTTTTCCGTATCGACGTCTGCTGGAAAAACGAGTAAGACATTGATATGCAAGGCACGGTCGCAAGACGAGATGCACATGTGGATGGAGGCGCTGAGCAGTGCGTTCGAGTGAGTCTTTGGACGGAGAGTTATCGCAACGCGTCCCATTCATCGACCGCGGCTTTTGCGAGAATCGCGGTGCCAGTGTAGTCGACTATCACGGCCAGCGCCAGTTGCTGTCAAAGCGGCGGTCGTGCAGCATTCTGATATCGATGCCATCCCTACGCCTGCTCTCTTCTTCCCGAAGCGTTGTGGCGTATAGTGAGCGTGTACAGCGTATTTAAATTATATACAGGCCGAACCGAGACCGGCAAGTTAGTAATAAGCGTTTTGTCGAGATCACGTAGTAAACGTGCAACCGATCGGTAGTTGCATACACAAGAAGAGCAAACAAGCACGCGACCTTTGTTCGGCCATTGTCAGCCCCATTGTTGCGTTTGACGAAGTCAGCCTGAGCCATGTGTACTTACTTGTCAGGAAGGACGTATGTTTGCAGCATTGATGAAGATGTCGTGAGATAGCATTGATTGTTCAGAGGCAGCAATTGCTATTGACTAGGCATATCGCCTACTGTTACATTGGTTTACAACGAAGAAGTAAGAAGCACACGTATGCTACAGCAATAGTGCAACGGTATCCTCTGCACGCGCATCTCATGCTTACATTGCAGCAATACTGCAGAGAGTCCACACAGATACCGGTGCGATGCGAGTCGTGTCGTTTTCTAAGGTAGAACATGTGTAAGCTCATCGCTGAACATGCTGTCTGCGTCCAGACTGACGTGGCGAGCGGTTATCGTGTATGCTTCCGCGTAAGCCGACCAACATCTCGTCCGAAAGATTCAGCTTAACATCAAGTGGCGAAAGGTCATCGAATCTTTGGCTCTAGCGCAAATCAGCGCGTACTGTGTGGACATGCGCCGTGACGACAGCGGGCAGTTTTGTTGTACGATACTTTCTCGTGTTGACTCGCCTACACGTGCTCAAAAGTACGACCGATGTCCACTCCCATGACGTAGAAAGCGCCCATTCAAAGTCAGTAGCGGCTGGACATCGAGTGCCCTTCTCATCTTGGAGCAGCAATGGCCTCAACAAGTCGTCAAGTGGTAAGCAAATTTGCGGCAACCTCATTTATGAACTAGTCACATCTGGAAGAGCTTGCGCTCTTCCATCATTGCACGCGTGGCTGGTGGCTTCGTTGCAGCTAGAACGCTCGTCCTCTGTAGTGGACGGCGAAACTGTCAAACTTGTCCGCGATCGAACGCGGTAAACGACGCTAGCGCATATCGTATCGATCATGGCCCTTCATACAAACATCAAACTCGCAAAAGGAGTCGCCATTGCGAGTTACGCTGATGGCCTGCTGACTGTTTTACATCGCAAGCAAATCTGCCTACTCAACACTCACTGCCGATGTTGCCGTGATCATTAACCGGAAGGTCGCATCGGTTAGCGCAAGCAATGCAAGTGCAGACAAATAGAAAGAAGCGCTACATTTGCCACACATATACCGCAAGTGGCTTCGAGAATTGATCCACAACTGCGACGGGGTATTCCATTGTTCCACGTTGTCGCAGACCGTGTCCACCATTAGGTAAGCTGTCAAAGCGGATCAAGAATAGCCCTTCACCACAGCTCTTACCTCTTTGAGCGCTATCTGAATCATGAACACTGAAAAGGTCACCTCTTTTTGCCTACTCGATGCAAGTTCCAGCACACAGATCACATGTAACGGGGCGAGTTGCGCCTTACGCTTGTGATAGTGCAAGCGAGTGACCACACGGATCACAGCACAAGTTGCGGTCGCCGAGACTTCACATACACTACATCGCAAGAAGCGCTTGAGTCGGCCAGAGAAGGTTACTTGATGGGCGAGAGCATGATCAGCCCAACGTGTTAGAATCAAGATATGCAAACATCCCCAATCGAGCTTGATGCACGGTTGATGCACATATGGATAACTCATCTAGATTTACCACTTGCTATGTGTTGACTGATTGGTGAGCCACGGGATAGCACCACGGTGTGCATTAGCTGGAGAAAATGAAACGTCACGGATGGAATGATACACCGGCGAACTTGCATCCTCCATACACACAAACTTTGGGTCGGTATGCATACAATTAGCTCATTGCTTTACATTACTAGCACACAGAAAACGTCCGTGCTTTCACGTTGACACCACAAAACGTAGCGCGCCAAAAACCAAGACTATGTCTCACACCTTTGACTTGTTGGTCGTTGGTAACTTCGTGCCGGTCGCATGTGCGGTCTGAATTATCCGGTCGCGTTTTGGCTTTCGGTGATACGGGTACCAGTGCTTTCATTGTACTGTAATCGATGCGGCGAATGGTATGTCTCCAGACCATTTCTTGCGGATTTTGACAGTCGAAGCGCAAGTACGTTAGCATGACGGCACTGTACTGGAACATAAACTGCTTACATCAATCAATCTAGCCAAGGATCTCCTCGAATAGCTGCAGCACATACTTTGATACGCACAGTTCTCAACAAACATCAGCTCTGGTTCGGATATGTTTTGCTTATGACTCACGAAGCAGCCGAGGCGTTAACACACGGCACCGGCCATACTACAAAGTACGTGAGCGTTTACAGCTGAGTCAGGATACCGCAAGTTGTAAGGTCAAAATCACATCGCATTTGCTCCAGGCAGAATAAGCTGAAAATCGACTAAAGCGCAGAGAAGCACATACGACGACACAGAAAGCGGACATTTCAGGTGGCGCTATTGATGTAGAAACATTGACCAGCAGGCGAGCATATATGCAACATCAAGGCACAGACATTTGATCACACTTTACAAAGCCAATTTACCACTGACTCATCACGGCTGGCCATTGACTCTTCAGTATCATACAGCATCCTCGTCATGGGCATGCATCAGGTTCTGGAGTCCGCGTCGATTCAGCCGCTGGTGTTGCTGCATTAGCACCATCCGACGCTTATCGCTGACAACGTCCATGGAATTCTGATCCAGCAGCTCTTGACGAACTTCATGCTGCAGTGCATAAAGAATTTCCGTCATCTTGGGGCGGCGTTTGGGATCGTTGTCCAAGCAGCGCGTGATGAGTTTGCGACGGCACGGTGAACATGACACTGGAATCGTTGGCCTCAGAGCTCCGCGTGACACGCTCATCATGATGTCGATCGTTGTGTAATTCTTGGGAAGGTCATGGTAGGGCTCATGCCTAGTCTCGAGCTCGACGAGGATTACACCAAAGCTGTAGCAATCCACTTGCGTGTCGTAGCGCTCCTCACGCAGGATCTCGGGCGCCAACCAGTACGGCGTGCCCACGATAGTACTAAAGAGCTTTCCAGGAAGAAGTTGTCGCTTCGACTCGCCAAAGTCTGACACTTTGCATGAATAGGTGCGTGTGCACAGCAAGTTCGAAGACTTCAGATCACGATGCACGAGTGGTGGGTCGCAATTGTGCAAGTACGATACCCCTTGCGCCACATCGGTAGCAATCTTCAACAAAGGGTCACTCCAGGCCAGCGCGATGGGGCTGCGCAGCAATGAGAGCACGTCGCCTCGTTTCAGGTATTCCATGACAAGTCCGACGTTGGACAAGTTGTCGAAGGTGGCGCCAATGAACAGCACAATATTTGGGTGCCGCAGACATGCCAGCAGTTCCACCTTGGCTTTGAATGCCGCAAGACCGTCAGCGACTAAACACGATTGCGCCAGTCGCTTGACAACGACCTCCGTCTGGTGATATTCGCCAACCAAGACCTCACCATTCGGCGTCTTGGCGATGATTTCTTTCAGCCTTAGATCGGCGAACGGGATGGATACTGTCATGATCAGTTCCATGTCTCCAGTAGCGCACAACGCTTGCTCCAACGCCTCCTTTTCGTCCCGTGTCAAAGTGTTCCGGTTTTCTAGTCCTATCTGCTTCACTGACAAATCGAGTTTTAGCGTTGTGTTGATGCGCTCAGCACGCACTTTGGAAGCATACGCCATACGTGCAGCGCGATCCTCCGAGTATGTGGCCGTGAGCGTAAAGCATGTCGGTAGAAACACACAAAAGAAAAACAGAAACCCCTCGTAGCTCATAACGCGTCGACTTGATAGAATCAATGGGGTTGCACCCAAGAAACACAACATCAGCGTAGTGATCCACTCTGCTACAGCCAGCAGCAGCACATGGGTAAAGTCCAGCTTCATTGCTACCGCGACGATACCAGCAAACGCAGCCAGCACTGCTAAGACGCCCATGAGAAGCGAGTACGCCAGTTTGCTATCGTACAACTGTAGCCAGGACAACATCGTCATTTGATCTTGCGTTCCAGAGATGTTCTTCCACTGTGACGCATCATACGATGACAAAGGCATGACCGTATCAGTCGCGCAAACCATCGCGTTGGCCAAGCTTTGCTGCAGGTTTTTCCTCATCCCGACCAACGCGTGATGCACAAACACGGCCAGCCCTACCGACCAGCACAGGACAATGAGCGTGGCAATCACTTTCCAATGACGTCGGATATAGTAGACCCCAATGCGTAGACTCATGCTGCCTTCAAAATACTTCAGTGGCAGTATGCCGTAAATGACTGCAAAGGGAGCAAAACTCCACAGCAGCCACGTGAGTCCTGTATCGTTCGACGTAGGCTCAACAAACAAGACACAGCTCGCTCCTTCGGTAGTATTATGCGGCAGCAGAGGTTGTTCCTGCAACAAAGACGAGAGTATGTCCACCCACGTGTAGTCGTTCTCGGTCGGCGATATGCACGCGTCTTTGAGCCTATGATACAGAAAGTAGGCAGCTCCTTCGAACGCTACGAGCGCCAGCATCAGTCGACGAGCAACGGGGAAGTCCACCGTAGAGGAGTAGAGTTGATACGACTCTTCTAACCGCTCGTCGCGAAAGTGGTTGCTCAGTAGCTTCAAGTCCACGCGGGGGTCCATGTGCGCTTGCCACGACGACGATCCCTGAGCCGATAGCGACTGCGCAGCAGAACTGAGCACGTGGGACGTTCGTGGCAACGTCTCTTCGCCTTGCGAAGACGCAGAGAAACTATGGAGAGACGACTCTGACGACGACGGCGATGATGACGATGATGACGACGACGGGCCTTTGGTGTTGTCGCGGAGCGCCATGTTGCTGCTCATGTCGCCAGTGGCGGACGCGATCCGTCGGTAGGCACTGCCGCCGCCATCTTCGCGCGGCTCGTCCTCTGGCGCCTGTAGGTCGATGTTCATCTTGGAGCTGATAGGCCAATAATCGAGATCCACCGAGCAACACAAAGTCCGGCAAAGGACGTGATGTGGTACAGTTTGTACGTATGTGTGAGAGTCGCTCGCTCTCGCTCTCTGTATGTATGTAGCCATGTGTCCGTGTACCCATGTGGAAGGACGTTTTGACCTTTGTGCGTGGACGTGTAGGTAGGTGAGGAGTGACTTGCGCATGTCCTTTCAACGGACTTGCGCTTGTCTTGACAACTGTAAGCCCTTACAACTTCCAAGTGGACGAGTCGCAACCGCATCGCTCGAAAACACCCACTCGACGATTAGTGCCACGCGAGACACGTCGAAAGGCGCAGCTCCCACTCACCCGCTCAATCACCCACCCACTCACCCACTCACCCACCCACTCACCCACCCACTCACCCACCCACTCACTCACCCACACCGCGTCCCTCGTCAGTCGACTCGATGCACTCGACGCGGCCGATCCTCATTGGAGGCAGTGGCAGCCAGCGCAGCTCCCCCGGCACGCGCAGTCCCAACAGCGTCGCACTGGCGTCGCACTCGCTGCCTGCAGACATGCACCACGTCCACCTCTCGCGCTTCCGGACGAGCGCAAGCGGCGCGCGGTCCAGTGGACTGCAGCCACCGCGAGCGCCTCTAGTGGGTTCAATGCCCGAGCCGCATTTCTTACCAGTGGAGACCATGCCGGACTTGGCGCTGGGTCCACGTGCTGAGACACGTGACGAGCCGTCGCTGCCGCAACGAGCCCCTGCTGCTGTCGTTCAGGTACCGTACACAACGGAACTTGTGCTGCTGGACTTGCACGTGAGGTGCGTTGCTCGCGGTACTGAGCTTTTTGCTGGGATGGGTGTTTTCGTCGTGTCTAGTTTGCGAGCTCTTGTCCCGGGAACATTGCGTTTTTGAGGAGGAACGTAACGAGAAGCGCGTGGACGCCCACACTCGCGCCACATGCAGTCGACCAGGACGATTTCGATCTGTCGAAGAGTCCTGCGCTCGCTGCGTTAAGAGAGAGGGGTCGACACGGCAAGTGAACAACGACGCACCGAATCGATCGTCTTGCCCGCGGATACAGTCGACAAGACATTACGCCGTGCCGGGTGGGTCGTCAAGCAATGCAGTGAGTGCTGAACTGTTTGAACGACTTAGCATTGCGTCCGAAGAAGGAGAAGAGAGTGCAAGAGAGTCAGATGAACAACACTACGGCATGCCACGATACGACTTGCAGATACCAACAGATCCGAGACGGAGGTCTGAGCGGCACGGATCGTGTGGAAATATGTCGGATACTGGTGACACGGGCATCTTTGAATTTGATGATCAATAGAATTTACAGCCAGTGCGATGAACAACCTGATGGAACAAGCAAGCGCGTGATTAGCGATTTGGAGCAAGAAGGTCTCCTTGTGTTTGATTGGAAAAAGGAGTGGGAGCGAGCAAGCCGCGCCGCCTTCAGGAGAATGCTTACGATTGTGGCTTGCGAGTATGGAAGTGATTAAGACAGCTATGTTGTCAGGACTTGAGACAAACTCAATGCAGCGGTATCTACCACACTCTCTGCGCAATTTCCCGCGTGTACTACTACTGCTGATGCTGCTGCTGGTGAGCGACCATGTCGAATCTATCTTGGGGCAGAGTGCTGCTCCGAACAAGTAGTGCGGGTAACTTGCAGAAAGTAACAACGATGTCGCAAGTACTCACACTCCTCAATTCCATGTTGTGTAGTATGGATAGACAGTTTGTTTTTGGGGTGACTCATCGATGGGCTAACATCGTCGCTTGTCTAGTCATACAGATGATTTGCTGTTGGCTTAGTATAGCGTAGTGTAGCGTGTGTCTTGTATTCCACCAGACGCATTATGGATGGATGTGCAGAACAGTAACAGAAGAGGATGCTGCGTGCATGCTCGATCAGCGTCTTTCTACAGCGTTCTTTATTGAAGTGCTCTCCGTCACACGTGAGACAGAACCAGGCTAAAGCACGGACACAATCGACATCGAATTTTTCGCGTCCTTTATCACGCGTGCGACAAAAATACGATCGGCGTGTCTCTCAGGAAGAAATCTCGAAGAAAGTAGTCCGTCGTGATTCATGGAAAGTGCTCGTGGTCTATAGGTAGAAGCATCGCGCACGGGTGTTGTATCAGAGTTTCACCTGCGTTCGAGATGAAGTCGTGAACCACCATCCACCACGCTGCATTTGCATTAGTTCTGGATAAGCAATTACGCCATTTTACGCTGAAGCGATGCAGACATAAAGGCACAAGATTTGATGTACATGCTTCGTTTGTCGCCTTTCTTCGCATTCGTCAGGCCAAACAGCAAGCCCGGGTCGGTATGCAGTTTCTATATTGTCGAAAGACCGGTAAAGTAATGCTTGTAAGTGGTAGCTCAGTGACTTTTGTGCGACATTGGCGGTAAACGGTAGCCGTAGGACGAGTGCAGAAAAAGATAGTACAGATCCGTGGCAAAGCATAAACAAAGACATGACGTGCCTGCACGGCAATCTTGCGTCGAGCAAAGGATCAAGTGACCCACACTTTGTTAGTGGAAATGCGGCACGTAGCATTGCGTATCATGTCATGTCGCCTGCGCTTCACTAGCAACCAAAGCATGCTTGCAATGGTACGCATGACAATTTGGTGTCAGTCGTGCCCAGTGAGGCTCGTGTAATCGAGATTTTTAACACTGCAACCAATTCGGCAAGGCAGTGTCGTAACTTTGTATGCTGCTTGAGGCGCTACGAATTCGAGAAGCCGTCATTGTGGACAAAAGGACGTGCATCGAAGATACGACGGCGGATATGCTCAGTACATCGTTGCTATCAAGCGCAACAAGGAGTACGAGTACACTTGCCGCGCAAGTGAGCATCTGTCACGACTTTCGATGATGTCGTCTTCGTTATGCGTGTACCCGTATACTTCCTGGGCATGTTGATAAGCACCAGTGAGACAACCGGTCGGAGTGAGCTTAGCCCGAGTAGCATCTACGCCTCTCGATATACCTCAAGCGTTTTTGGTGAACGTATCGGTGACGAGTGAATGACATCGAATCACCGACTTACCGTTGCTACTGCGTTTCAGATTTCATCGTGTAGGAGTCGCACATGAGTCAACGAAAGTGCTTTCTAGCTATAGAACGATCTGACGAGCATCATCATGCATGCTGGTCCCGTTACTTCAGGATGGAGTAGACGACGGTGTCATCTGTGCGGAACGCGAGGCAAGTGTGGACCGACGACAACGTGGTGAGCGATGGACTGTATGACTAATATTAAGGTTTTGCACGACAATCAAAGAGGTCTAAGCGCAAGAACTGGACTCTGGACGCGAACGCGTCTGGTCGACCAAGTACGACACGTGTTTGCCTTGTAGAGTGGGCATGTGGCCAACACCAGCCAGCACCACCAACGTCGTCTGCTTACTACAGGTGCGTCATTGTCTGTACAGCTAGATAAAAGGTCTGGGCAACTTAACTTGCACGCTCAAATCAGTCGAAGTATCGATTCCTGAGCTTGTTTGTGGTGGGTAAAGTGTTGCAATGGAACTTCTATCACTGATGCACAACTAGGACTATGGGTGGGTGATTCGAAGGCGGTCCGAGAAGAGTGCCCACGATCTCGAGCACAAAGATAGTGTAGATCGCATCGAGTGTTGTGGACTCGGTCTTTCATTTGCACTCTTCCTGTGAATTTTGGTTCTCTTACACGGAAGACGCATCACCAAGCTAACTTCATGGGTCATTTGATCCCCTTTTCTCATGCAACAGCAATGACTCGTTCTGTGCAGTCTACATGGTAGATTGGATCTACCGTACTGTCCTGCGCTCTCATTACATCTTTGTCAATCAACCACTACGGCCTCGCTACACACAAAGGTGCATCGTAATGGCTGGAGTTTTCGAGAGTGTGTCGGTGTTGCCATACCGTCTTTTCCGTGTGAGGATACATTACGATTGGATTGAGATAAGCCATATCACGAAGCCGAATCCTACAAGAGAAGAAGACTTTAGACGACTACTTAGCGCATGTAGCGTCCTGTCAGTATACGGGCTTTGCGAATGAAACGCCGCCAATGCAAAGTCAAAGAACGCCGAAATCTTCATGCGATACAATGCAGGATTCGGCCACAAAGGTGCGGGTAGTCGACATTGTCCATCCAACTTGTCTGTCTTCAGTGCACAAACTTTTTGCACATAGAAGCCTGCCACGCCGTACTCGTCTTTGTTTGCTACATCCTTTCACGATCTTGTAGCCACCCGATGTCATCAAGGTCGTTCCGTACTCGGTGCGATTGGCCATAGACGCCACAGGGTCCGTGGTTGTCAAAGCCAATGTACAATCATGGAGCCTGTGCACTGGTTCCATCCGTGCATTTTGCTCGGCCTGATGCCGTCAGCAACTTGATCGTTATAACATTCTGGACTCGGGAAGACTGACGCGGCTATTGCGGATGTTCGTGATGAGGCGCGTGACAAGGCCAATCGTCATGCGCTCTCTCTCTCTCGCCTCATCGACAAAATCGCGCGTCGGCCGCTTGTTACTCTAACCTGTCGAATGGATCCTCTGTAGATACGCATTGAAGGGGTCAACGAACTGTCAATCAGTGGCCGGTATGATACAGCTCACCGTCTTCAACCTTCAGTCCGTGCTGCTCTTGGCAGACTCTCCTGACAATCGGCTGAGACGAGGCGTGGCATTCGGATCGAAGGCTGTGACCGAAGCCAAAGCAGGTAACGCGCTTTCGCTCTCTCGGGCACCTGACGCATAGGTCTTGCGGACAACTCTCATTTCCTCAGCCATTACTTGCGAAGCCACAGCCGAGAACTCCCGTTTAACAGGGTCGATAAAAAGTTTCTGTCCCAGCAGATTCGTTAGCAATGATGAAGATACTTGCGCAATCACGTTGTTCAACAAACCTTTATGCGGTCATCGAACCGGATGATGGATTCAAACACGTTCACGTTCTCGGAGGCTCTGACATCTTCGACCAGCTTGCTGTAAATGAGCGCCAAGATGTCACACAAAGACAGCAATACCTCCCGGTAGTCGAGTGGGAAAGGCTGCCAGCCATCACATGCGACGACACGTCAGTTCTTGTGTGCTCGCACACTTTGCATAGTAACGACACCGGTCGCGCAAGCAACGTACAATCGAAGGTGTCAGGAGTCGGCGGTATACTGGCCGTTGGTTCCACTTGTGCACACTTGGTCGGAATGGCTCGCCACCCGAACACTCCGGACTGCTCTCCTTGTCCAGAGGCTCATGAAGCGTACTCAACGTCGCCACCATCATTTTCTATCGTTGCAACAAACACATGCACAGTTGGACTGCCGTACCCACTCGCGTCTCAATCCACAACGTCACTCACTTACCACACCCTGCACCGTCGAGGACGAAAAGTGGAATTCGAGTTCTTCCAGCAACTGGCAGCAATCCATCGCCAATAGCTCCGGGTGCGCCACGTCGCCAAGCAACGTCCCTAGTCCAATGCCGAGGTAAAAGAACTGCGCTCCACGACGAACGCTCGGTTTCTCGCCAATGCGGGCCATGACCTGTTGCTCCCTCAACAAGGCCACGTTCAGCCAGTAATTTGCGCCTTCGTGCATGGCCTTGAGGTACGTCCAGTCCGAGCGTCGGTGCTGCACCAAGTCCTCCAAAATCTTCATCCTCTGCCGCGTCAATGCTTCGGCCACTGCTTCTGCAGCCCGCGCTACTGCCGCTTCGTCCTCTTCTCGGTCTGCCCCCGAGCTGCTCGACTTGTCGTCGACGTCGTCCGCATGGCTGCTACTAAAGCTTCGGGACGCGAACAGCAGCGAGCCAAACGACGACGACGCACTGGTGAGCGACGACGTCAGACCCGACGTCAACGACCCGGCAGCGGCGGCCACGGAAGCCAATGAGTCGGTCGCGTGCGCAGCTTCGCTGAGCTCGACAGCGGTCGTCTCGGCTTTCGTCGCTGTTCGAGTCGGGCTCTTGTTGTTGTGACGCGGTGAGAGCAAACGACGTCCACTGTGAGCGAGTGTCGAGCGGGCGACGGCAGCCATCGAACGAGCAGCGGCCGAAGACGCTTTTGCAGCCGACGTGGGCAGTTTCGACCGACGACTGCGCGCGTGGGCCGTGACGACGTCGTCGGAGATTGAGGTCGGGAGAGTGCAGTCGTCGAGTGTCTCGTCAGGACAGTGCGCCGCGTGATAGTCGGGGAGGGCCGAGGGGGGCGGAGGGAGAGACGCCAACACGTCGTGCTCGCTCGGCGCGGAGTTCATGACGACGGGAGAGCTGGAGCTCGTGAGGTTTGAGGACGTTGTGGAGCCGCTCCTGACGGTAAATTACAGATACAGGATCGACGACGTCGTGTTACACTGCAGTCCGTATGTCTTATGCTGCATGAGTCAGCGTTTGTTTTCTTTATCCTGTGTCGTGCAAGGACGAGGTCGTGTGTGATGCTGGAGTTGTGTTTGGTCTATAACAAGCAGACTCCGTTACGTAGGATTGACACCCATTCGAGCGTCGTCGATGTGGATAGTGTCGGCGTCGATATATATATATATATGTTGAGAATTTACATAGACTAGGACACTTTTTATCGGAAATTCGTAGAATAGGACACTTTTTCACCATCCACAGGATAGGACACTTTTTTTCACCAGCTATAAGAGGAATACAAGACGGCGAATGAACCAAGCGCGCGCAGCCTTTCTGCGTAACGAAGCGATACGGCGATGGCTCTTCAAACACAATCTGGTGTTCCTCTTGCCGCACTTCAAGCTGGAAAGCGTCTCGCTGCTCCGCTCGGTGCAGCTTCGACCACCAGGTATATGCAGGACAATCGTCACCTGAACACTGAGGTAGGCTCTGGTCTTGTTTCTGTCGGAGACATTGTAGCTGACGTGATCTTTTGCTGCCTGCGATCGAATGGCTATCATTGCTTCATCCATAGTAGCGAAGGATAGCCCTTTGAAAGCTGGCACGTCGGGAGTGATGGTAGGTGGCATGACGGTTGGTTGAGGATCCTGTAAAAGAAGCAGATTTGGAGCGATGAGAAGAACGATCTTGATGGATGATGTCTCGGAGACGATCTTTCGAGACTGCCAGGGGAAACTAAGGGGGATTCCTTGCGTCGCTCGCGAGGCTCAGACCAAAAATAGAATAGGGCACTGTTGACTACATACTGGTTGACCAGTACGGAGTATACTTCCACTGAAAATAGTGGTCGACAGCGCCCTGCTAGGTGTTTAAGGAACACAGAGGAAGAAACGGAGACTAAGTAGTCAGACTAGTCTCTGGTAAAAGTAAAACTGTATTTATATAATCAAGTCCGATAACTTCTTGAATCTCTGTTGTCCTGACTTTATAATACTAATGTAGCTAAATGTATGATGACGTCTACTCACCACCCATTGTGCGCGTCTAGCAGCGATTGGTGGGTTGATATCATCACGATATCAACCAATGAGTAGATCATTCGGTCATCTCAACAGTATCACCATATCTGTGATATTGTTAAAAGAATACTCGACGTGATATTCTTTATTGTCAAATTGTTCTTAATGACAATTTTATGTAACGGGCTACCCCGTTACAAAAAAGACTAAAAAGTGTCCTATCGTGTGAATAAATAAAAGTGTCCTAATCTACGAATTTCCGATAAACAGTGTCCTATTATATGTAATTTCTCATTTATATTTTCTTGCACAATTACCGTTGACAGAGGTCGAAACAAATATTTTCTTTGCAGGAAATCCCGGCACGGACTCGCAACACCACTACGTACTGATTGGACGATGAACGACATGATAATGGGCAACAAGATCGAAAATGATACCGACCACGCATAAATTGTGGTGAGCAAGAAGATTACATGCACATTTGTAGTTGATATGACGTGCTCTGAGAATCATCCATTGTTGCATGCTTTGGATCCATGCACTGGAGTAGCGCAAGTCATGAATGCTAGTTGCGGACGTGCGTGCTATTTGTCGAATATCGATGACGAATGCACTGGATGTGGATAAACATAGTCGCCCTTGCGGCAGTGGTAGCCGACAATGAGCATGGAATATATTCGTATGATCCAGTAGTCACCTCGATGACATGACGTCGTCGTCGTTGTCGTCTTTGGTTCTATCATTGCAAGACAAGATGGTCTAATCAATCCGAAGTCCTATTTGGAATTAACTGACGCAATTGATCGTCATCCTGGTCCGAAACGTTTTACAATTGACAATCAATCAAGCGAACTGGCGTCATATCAATTGGCGGGATTGGGATACTGTTTCTTTTCGATTGCAAGAATCCGAACAATCATCTACAAAATAACTTTGTATCGGTAACCGAAAGGAGTTGACGTCTATAAAGCCTTGACAATTTGTTTACAAATAGCTATGTAGACTATCTGAACCATCGGTGCAATTTATTAAGAATCTGCGGGTAAATGCCCGTCGTGGTGCATCCTTTTTGCTCTCATTAAGTGTACCATTTTCTATCCTGATGCCATTTCGTAAGGGTATTGCTAAATTCACACCCCTTTTTCTTAGACTCACACCCTTCCTTCAACATCTTATATATACAAGGTACGCAATCGCCGTTGGACAAAGACGAAGACTTTCTCTGCCACTTGGCTACGGGCGACATCTTGCGCGCTGATGTAGCTGCTGACACCGACATAGTCAAAAAGGTCAAAGCCGCGATGGAGTCGGGCGCACTTGTGACCGACGAGATTGTCGTCGGTATCATTAAGGACGCCATCAAGAGTTCGGAATGCCGTCGTGGATTTATTCTTGACGACTTTCCACGAACGGTCGTGCAGGCCTAAAAGATGAGAACAAGAGGAGATACAGACGAGTGTCCAGGTTGCAACGCAGAGGCTGACCATAGTTCCCTCTTTCCGTATGCGTAGTCCTCGCAACTAAATTTGTACCTGCTGGCCTTCAATGACGTCTCTTGCGCTGGCTGGGCGTACGTGTTGTACCTAACAGTGACAACGATCTTCAAGGCGCTTGAAGGTGGCGATCTGGACTGGAGCCAAGTGGCACAAATCACGTGGGACGTTGTGTCACTGCCGCTCACAGTGATTCAGCCGATGGCCGTAATGGAGATCGTGTACGATGCCGTGGGCTTTGTGCGATACTCAACCTCGGGAGGATGAAGCATTTTATTGCGTGGTGCTCTATCAGTAAACGCTGGGGGAGCTAGACCACAGGCGTGAGTAGTATCTTATGTATTTCTTGCGTATTACTTGCCAATAAATGGCCTAGATTATTGGGTAATACTTTGTCAGAAATTAAATCCTAAAATGAATGGGGATTTTAAGGAAGGGTGTGAATCTCAGGAAAAGGGGTGTGGATATAGCAATTCCTTATCGTAAATACTTTTGAAAAATGCAAATTAGTGCAAGTGAAATGACAAAAACAATAATGCTTCACAAGATCAGAAAAAACGAAATTGCACTAATTTATATAAAAGCTGTAACAATTTGCACACGACAACCAATTACACTTGACATTAAACTCGTACATCTACATCGACGTAAATCTGCCTCATTTCCCCCTATATTCAATTAGTGTATAATTTGCAGCCTTTTTTCACCGACAATGACTTCGTGAGTACGGAAATGTGCAACACCGCTTTGAGCGTGCACTGAAAACGTTCTGTACCGTTCGGTTGCAAGGTCGTGTTGGTTCGAATTATTTGATCTGGGTCTTACCGAATTAGCAGTGTCGTAATGTATAGCTATTTGTTTTTTGTTTTGGTGACATTGTTGTATTTCGTACGGGAAGCAACAGCGCAGATTCTTCATTGCGCGTACACAGTACCGTAGGCAATGTTTGGGTTGTGGCTTACAAGAATATTGTTTGACGGATGAAAAGGACATCAAGTAACAACATACCGGGCTGCTAAACATTACATATTGTTGCTATCGCAAATCGTCTCCTGTAGGGAACAAATAATAAAAGACAAAAAATCTTACCTTCGTACGCGTACCTGACGCATTTCAGCCGGCCGCCGCGGACACCCTCATTGACTTACCAAACACGAAGTGAATATGGAACTGTGCAGTGGCTCTGATCCTTTCACACATTTACCGAATGCATCGACAACTACAAATAGCCTCAAAGTAGGAGTAGATAAGAATTACCCTGCAGGCTTCACCGGCGTACGTTAATTGTTTGGCTACATCCGAAATACCACCTTTTAGCACATTCATGCGTATACTTGTGAGCTTATAAAGTGAGCCAAACGCTATCATATCGATCGATTCTGGCAGGTTGTCAGTTTGGTCACAATTGAAGTTGCTGATGGTGGCGGCGGTGATGTTGATTTTGATCTATATATCGCTTTCCAGAAAGTGATCTGATAGATGCAGTGTTGTTATTCGCAATGAAGGTCATCACTCTCACAGGGAGGAATGCCTTTGTCATATAGGTCAAATCGTACTCCAAATTTGTAACGATAGAGTAGAGCTAAGTTTTTTTCATATTGGATCTTGTATTGATCACTTGAGAACAACGTCAATTGCAACGAGGAATAAATTGATATAATGAGTTAAAAGACCGACTAACATAGTTTGCGCTATCACACATAAAGGGTTTCATACTTGGGTGGTACGTTACACTAAGACGTAGCGCTAACTCGAAAGAAAGAACCACTTCTTCTTTGGTGTCCACTTAATCGTTAGCTGCAACATCTGCTGATAAGGTAATTGTCATTGCGGTCAAACCTCACCTGGTCGCGTCTTATTTGCCAGGTTTCGTAGTTGTAAGACAATCCTGTGTATTTTAACACAAGATGTCACCCATTCTAAACAAGAGTTAGTGAAGGATGAGTAAATCAAATTTGTAATTGAACAAGCTGATGACGTGGCCCCCTGCCGAATATTAGGATGCGTTTGGCGTGCGTTTCAAAATAAAGTTCCTCAAATTTTGATTTCCTTAATATTTACACAATCAATTTCACCTAAATTGGCTGCAATACCCAACGTTGCTAAGTATAATAGAAGGTTGCTCAATCTATTTATATGTTGCATATTAGTGTGTGTTTGCAACGCTGTTTTGTATCGGACAAATATTAACTATCCCAGCGATCAATATGTCACACACGCTGTACGTCATTAAGCCTCCCCGATGGTAAAGAACATACACGGAACTGGCCGCATCTACAAACGACCCTGGACGAACAGTAACATGACATCCCATGTGACTTGACTGATTCGTCAATTCATAGCTAGTTTTTTACATACCAGGTACTTTTAAGGCAGAATCAGTTCATTCTTACACCATGTGAAGTTCATATTATACGACGCAGTTGCACTTGTGCAGTTGAAGTAGGAAGTAAAAGTAAGATATATTGAGTGCTAACTACCCTTCGTTGTTATATACCATATGCCGCTTATGACCAGTACTGCAACTTGACCTGGTTCTGCTACACCTGGCACACATCCATTGTTTCCGTCACCGTGTGTCAGCACTGGTTTCATATGACGTCTGTATGTCTTTGTCTCACCGATCTTCTCCGATAAAACTTCGACATAACGATCTTGGTTCCCTGTCCCATATGTCAAGATGTCACGTCTTGATCCCACCTGTCAACTTGTTGGCCAATCAGGTGAGGTTGCCCTTTACCCGTCATGAGTCTTGTATTCTTCACTTTAAGCTTTTATAAATTGTCAGAAACAATATCTTCTAACACATTAATCTTAATCGTTTACTTACACGACGTATGAGCCATTGTACGAAATGTTTGACACCTGGTGCTATGCAATTAGGTCTAACTGTATTAGAAGCGACTATTACGTAGTCATTATCTCTTCATCAGAAGTAAGAATCGTATGTAAAAAATTGCTACAATTCAAATCAGTCACATCCGCTCGTCATCGTGCAATGCGCAGGTTGATACCCGCACGTTTCAATGTGCAAACTTTGTATCGGGCTCGCTTCCTTCGGCATCCTTCTCATAGGCCTACAGATTGACATGAAAGCGACAAGTTCTCTATCTCGAAATGATACTGTACTTTATAAATTGATTTAAAGCTAGATGTATAAAATTTAGCTACACTAAATGGCATTGTACAGTCCGCTTACACTCGTACACTACCTCTTACTCGCTTTCACGCAGCCGAAAGTCGCCTTGCTTATGAACAGTCGCTGTACTTCAACAGTCAGTGTACTTCGCAGCTCACTCGTCACCATCGGAGCCGCACCAAGTTCTGATTTTGCCGTAAATATATGCACGCTCGATTGTATCGTGCAGATTCACTCCCAATTATCCTATTCGTTGAAATTCGCCACCATCCACAGACTTACGATTTTAGTGGTTTTCTGCATAATCGACATCGCTTTAGCCTTGTTATGAAGATCTTCCTTTCTTGAGTTAAACGTCTTCACCGTTTATCCAGAAACTTAAAATGCCTTTTTCCCTTCAAATAATTCACAATCCGCGCGGGCCATCGTCAATCTCGTTTGCTTGGCGCATGTGCTCATCGGCTGGATAGATGCATGACAATCGAACTGTCAGGTCTCGCACAGTGCGCAAGCCACAGCAGAATCACCCTATTTTTGGGTTTTGAAGAGCGTAAAAAATTGATGGAATTTTAAGAAAGAGTTTCTGGTGCTAGATTGCATGCCGCTTACTTTAGACCTGATGGAGTTTATCATAATTTGCCAAAAGTTAATTTAAAAATGACAATTAAAGGTGATCGATTTGAATGATATGTACAAATAAGTTGGTAGCAATATTGTTCCACCGCTTCATCTAGATAAGAGATCACCCCTGCATTCGCTGACTTCACCATTTACGACCGGTTCCGTGCAATTTCGGATAGCTCAAGTCAAGTTGTAACGAGTAGGGACGTGCGCCACCGAGAATTGATACATACTATTTGCTCAAGTGTGTGTCAATTCTCGGTGGCGCACGTCCCTCCCATGCCTAGAAACTTTGTCACCACTCAAAGATCTTTTGCTTCATGCACCTGCATGTACCTGAACATCTGAGAGACCATGGTCGTATTCTCGCCTAAATTAAGAGGTCTGTGGAGAAGCGCAGAGAAAGAATGATGGAAATCTTGGGTCGTGCAAACCGTTTTGAGTGCGAAACCAATTATATTGGTGGAGCGCACTCATAGATGGGCCCGTTAGCATGAGTGATGGCATCAACACAGACTGGATGAAGGAAAACGATTGTTGAAGTAATGCGGACAGATCTACCCAAAGGAAAAAAAGAGTATGGTCAAGGATCGGCGATTGACCGATCACGATCCGCTATCAAGGACTCGTATCACCAAGCTACAAGGATATGCTCACTCACGAGGTAAAGGGCAAATGGATTACCTAATAAGTAACGAAAAATGGATGATGGGTGAATATGGAGGCATGCCGGAGGAGCGGATCATCAAGTATGCAAAGTTTTAGAAGCGACAGCGATCCGGCCGTGGATGCCCGATCGAAGACGCAAAAGATTGACCGCGATCTACCCTGGGTGTGTACCGCTTGATTGTGTGAACACATACGTGGTGCAAACCACATACCACGATCAACTACCCGAGCGATCCCCTACCCGAACGATCCGCTACCCGAGTATCTGCTGCGGACCACATGATGTTAGAAGTGAATTACATATACAGGCAATACGCAACTGCTGACCTAGCGAACAGATAGGCATTTTATGGGTTTTGGGATTGGTTGTTTGACATCAAACAGAATAAATTGAAACGGATGACACGCGTCGACTTCTATCGGGCAGAATATTTGGACTACGGTCGAACAGAGGGTCAACCTCGTCTTTACAAACTTTGCCCTTATATTGTGTGGCCAGGCGGAACGTCAATTCTCCCCCCCCCCCAACTGCGATCGGACGCAGTGAACCTCACGGTTCGGATGTAAGATTGCGAGACGGCTCAAATGGTCAGAAGGTTCACGCATCAAGAGTCACTCTTGAACAAAGGCGACTCTGGGAGAGCGCCTAAGTATACACGCGGTCGAGTGAAGAATTCCCACTCTATCCACCCCTACATTTGACCGGGTGAAGAAATTCCACCCGATCCACCTCTATCCCCAAAACGGTCAAGTTCATCCTCAGCTTAAGTCCACCAAGAAAAGTGCAATTCTCCCCACCGATGGGTACACAAGGTGAGCAAGAAAACAGAGCATGGAT